TCGTCCAACGAGAGTTAAGGCTGATGAGGAAAAATCATGTGACTGCCCGCAAACGTGCGCCATTACTAAGTTACTAGGTGTTAGGATTATTTAAGTTATGTAAACTCTGTCGCACTACCAAGTTTTCATTTCCAATGCGCACAACTAATTAAAAATATTAATATAGCAAAATAGAATGAACGTGTAACTAGACTACATAGGGAAAGTGTTGCACCAAATTAATTGCCCAAGGTTACCAGTAATCTTTGACATAGATGTCGACAAAAAACCAACTTTCGCGCATGTTTTCATACATGCAAACAACTTTCCTACTCTCTCAATCGATGAGCGTTTTACAACTGTCAATAGATATTGTTGTGAAATGTTTACGTACATAATGTCGGAACTTCTTGTCATAACTGGTAGTATTTGGGTTTTCTAACACATGGAATGCCATATCTGTCGTTTCTTGGGTTATCAATAACTTTGTGCGATGACCATTTACAGCTTTCAGATATTCCTCAATAAGTTTATCGAATTTTTCTTGCGTAATAAAGATAAAACTGGTTGAGTCCATTGGTATTCCGATTTAGTCGTTTGTTTATCGAGTGGAGGATTACGTGACTCAAGCACCCCGGATACTAATTCGGGGGTAGGAAGACTTCTTTGGAGGAGAAGAAAGAAGATGTGAATAACGTGCTTGATATAACTAGAGTAATATTGATGGAGACGTTTATGAGGATGATATTATATTATTTTGACATGACAAAAAAACACGACCAAATATGTCCCCCAATAGTCGTGTAAAAATACAATGTCACCAGCACAGGATACCCACCAAAACCCCAAACTACCTAATAGGGAATAATATGAGAATACAAGTGGCTCTCGATATAAGAAAGTGATCGGGGCCCAACAAATTCCTTTCTTATATCGAAAATCTCTTATAATGAGAGTCATTTGTTATAAGATTTTAAATCGGGTCCAGCAAAAATACTTTCTTATATCGAAAGTTTCTTATATCGAAGGGTCCGCGACCTTCGGTTTATCGAGTTTCACTTTTAATACCCCGGATATTTTATTATATTTCCTTTTTTAGAAAAAGTGAACAATGTCCTAATGTTCAGTCCTTATAATGGAAGATATTATAATTACTCTGCAAAAATCACATGAACAAAATTAAAACATCCTACTTTATATTATTGAAGTACTCCAAGTACAAGCTATCTTATGCCATGTCCGAAATTCATAAAGTCATGTCCAATCGTAAAGTTGCAATACCAAGTTACTATAAAATGGAACAAATAGATTCGGCATTGTTGTTGGAACCACCTATAGGAGTTACGTTAGGGATGCCAGTAGAGAGTCTTCTAGCTCCCAGTAGACGATGTAGATCAACACATCCCCGTCGTCACCTGAACCCCTTCATTCTATTCAGAAGAAATTTTGTGGCCCTACTTGCGGCACATCCGGTACATCCGAAGATGGGTCCTTTTGAAGTGACCAGACGCAGCGCGAATGAGTGGAGAAACGCTCCTCCCGTAGTCAAAGAATACTTCCAAATGTTGTCTGGCGAAGCAAACAAACGGCACGCCATAAACTATCCTCCATTTATGTACGCACCACGAAAAAGACGAATTACCAAAAGTGCGTTTGCGGCAAATATGGATAGAAAGCGGAAAGTCAGTATCGGATTGTTTAAATGGAGAAACATTTAATGCATCGTTATTATATTTAAACAATTTTCAGTTTTATAAAATACTAATGTACGTTATTTATTTCAGTCTTCCGCTGTGATGATAGCAGACTTCGGTTCGTCTAGTCTTTTAAAACAAATTTCGCCATCGAATTGTCGTGGCACTGTAGCATACAAAGATCCAGCATTTTTCAATGATGAGGATGATATTTACAAACAGTCTGTCCGAGAGGTTAGTCATTTTGTATTGTTTTTATTGCATATTAATGCTTCCTTCTTTATAAACTAATTTTGGCATTGTCATCATACGTTATTTGAAGAACCACAGGCGGGCAAATGGTCATCCCAACAATTTCCGTTTTGTAGATCCATTCAAAATTGATAGATACATGTCGAAAGAAAGAGTAACGGCTAACCTAGTTTCTATGGAAGAAACTGCCACAGGCGATGATTATAGCATGATTTTTGAACTTGAGGCTTTGCGACAACAGCTGACGAAATACAAATCGGTTGTCAATATGATAAGCTACTTGCATTCGCTTGGTATATTTCATAAAGATTTGGTACGTTTTGCAGATTGACGTCTCTTTACTCATTGTTATTATATTAAATACTAATTTACTTTATTTATTTCAGTGTACTTTGAAAACACCATCGAATTGTCTTGGCACTCTAGCGTATAAGGACCAATCATTTAATAATAAGAAACGTGATGGTAAATCCGATATTTTCAGCCTGGGGATAGTGCTCTGGGAGATATCGAGTAAACAAATGCTGAGTGAAAGACGTACTGAAAAACAAGGAAATGCTAATGCACATATTAATGGAATTGAAGTAGAAAAAGCAGTTTTTGCAACCACTGTGTACAGACCTAAGGGCTCTCGTGATGCTCCTTTTCCTGGAACGCCTGACGGATATGTTAATTTGTATTCAGGATGTTGGGATGAAACCCCCAATAACCGGCCTTCACGTGAAAATGTTTGTGAGGGATTGAAGAAATGGTGGGAATATTATAATGCAGTAAACGATTTCAACAAAATGTTGGAGATTGAACCGAATAACGCATGGACATTAAGCAGAAGGGGAGCTGTCTATCTTCATCATAATCAGTATGGCAACGCATTATGCGACTTCAACAAATCGTTGGAGATTGAACCAGACAATGCATGGACGTTGCGCAGAAGGGGAGCTGTCTATCTTGATCTTAAACGATATGACGAAGCATTAACCGACTTCGACAAATCATTAACGATGGAACCAAATAATGCGTGGACATTGAGCAGAAGAGGAACTGTCCATCTTAATCTTAAACAGTATGCCGACGCATTGCGCGACTTCACCAAATCGCTGGAGATTGAGCCAGCCAATTTATACGCATTGAGCGGAAGAGGAGCTGTCTATCTGCGACTAAAACAATATGACAATTCACTGAAGGATTTGAACAAATTGCTGAAGATTGAACCAAACGATGCAGGCGCATTAAGTATAAGGGGGACCGTTTATCACGAGATTCATCAATATAACGATGCATTGTATGACCTCAATAAATCATTGCAGATTGAGCCAAATGATGCATCGGCATTGAGAAGTAGAGGAGCTGTTTATCTCTATTTCAAGAAGTATGATAAGGCATTGAGCGATCTCGATAAATCGTTGAAGATCAAACCGAATGATGAAAATGCATTGAGAGTAAGAGGAGATGTCTATCTTGTGCTTAATCAGTATGACAAGGCGTTGAAAGATTTGAACGAATCGTTGGAAGCTGAACCAAATGACGCCTTGACGTTGGGAAATAGGGGAATTGTTTATTTTAAGCTTCAACAATACAATAGTGCTTTACACGATCTCAATAAATCATTGGAGATTAAGCCGAATGATGCAGTGGCAGTGAGTATAAGGGGAATCGTATATCAAAAGCTTGGTCGGTATGATAATGCATTGAGCGATATAAACAAATCATTGGAGATTGAACCGAATAACCCGTTTACGTTGAGTGTAAGGGGGAAGATATATCTTAAACTTGGAGAATATGACAAGGCACTAACAGATTTGAATCAATTATTGACAATTAAACCAAACGACGCGCTGGCATTGAGAGCAAGGGGAGCTGCCTATATTAAACTCAAGCAACATGATAAAGCATTAAATGATTTTAATAAATCGCTGGAGATCACTAATTGATGTTTGCATGCATTTGGTCTTATCGTATAAATTTTTTCTTATTATTAAATTTTAACGCGGTCAATCAGTTTCAGTTAATTTCTTTCTTATTAAATTTTAACACGTTGTTTTTGCGGTAGTTTTTTCTGATTTCATGTAATCTCTCTATATCTAAACTTATTGGGTAACAATAAATCACTCGAGTCTTTGTAGTTTTTCACACTATTATTTGTGATTATTACAAAATTTACGGACACATGACTACTGTGTAACAGTCATGGGACATGTTACATAAGCTACTAATCGCTTTAGCAAAAGTTTCGTTTTTGATATGGTGTGGGACACCTAAAGACCGAACAGTCCGAAATTTTGTTCTGCAGATCACTTATCAATCACATGATATTTGT